TGAGCCAATATGTTGCGCTTGGTATTAGATATTTCCACTATTGTTCGTGTCCTCCTGTGTATGGTGAATGGGGAAAGATAGTATAGCTGATGTTGGACAATGAACGGTAGTATCCTACAACAGTGGTGTCACAAAGGGAGTGCGGTGGGTGCGGCCCGCACCCGGGTGACACCATTAGAGGGATGACACCAAAATGACTGACAGTCATTTTGGTGTCACCTTCTCTAAAAAGTCGGGCACTTGGTCATAAAATGAGAGCCCGACAGTGTCAGGAGAGAGGAGGGGACACGGCGGCATACCTCATCCCGCCAGGTGAACGTCCCCTCCTCTCTCTGCCGGCATCCATCAATAAGAAGGCTGCTGGCAGCCGTCAATTAGATGACTGTGCATGCGCGATGACGTCACCTGGTCTAAGCTCCAGGTGACTCCCAGCCTCGGGACGCCCCTGTCCAACAACCACAAACAAGGGGGCATGCACAGCAGAACCATGATTCAGAAAGTGGATCCTCTATTAGAATGGGCCTAAATAAATATATGGGATTTAAAGGCAATTCACTTACCAGGAGAACAGAACACATTTTCAGTCATGATGAGCCGATCCCATATGCACAACCACAAGTGGGCTCTCAACTTGGAGGTTGGTCATCCAAATATTGGGCTCTCCGAAAAGGCAAGTGTAGCCGGTGTTCTTTTTCGCTAGAACACTGGCTTCCCAGGCAATCAGGAAGCCGGGCGACAGGTCATGATCCCCCACTTTCTGATAATCAGTGAAAAGTAGAAATCGGACTTCCGGTTCCGGCGCCTGATGTAGCGGTCGCAGAGGAAAGAGCTCCCGCACAGTCAGGGCAATATACCCTATATAAAATCCTACTTCGGCATACCGGCACCACATTGACCAACACATCGGAATCAACGTCATCCTACAAACTAACGTTTCGGCGCCACACAGGGTCCCTTCATCAGGGCGACAATGTTACATGTGCGGCCCCGAAACGTTGGCTTTGTCTGTGACGACTTGTCCGATTAAATGGACATCAACGATATTTATTGAGTGCTGGTGATTTCTACTTTTCACTGTTGATTTGCACGGTGCCATCCGTGATTGTAACTACGAGCACCACTATTACTGCTTTGGCCGGGAATGCTGTGAGGAGTGCAGAGGGACTCACCGTCTCCTTTCAGGGCATGCGGTACCGGTATTGGTACTCGGTATCGGCGAGTACCGAAAAAAGCACATCGGTACATCAGTGCATCCCTCATATATACATAAATAAACCGGCCCAGAACAGATGTTATGTCATATGCATATCACTCTCTGTATTGTTGGTGTTTTATTTCACCATGTATTGGGGATGGAGGTTGAGTATTTGTGTGATATACAGAAGGATCATCAGCCTATTGGTATGTACACAGAGTGGCCAGTTTATTATGACCACCTGACGTTTGTAGGCAAATTAGCTATAATTTGGCGCTGAAGTTGCTAGAGGGCCAGACCATTATAAATAGGGAAGCAGGTTGTTTACCACGACAGTAGAAGTGATTTGTTTCTGAAAATACGGGTAAACAACGCGATGTAACAGCCTTTGAACGTGGGATGATTGTTGGCGCTCGGAGCCATGGAGCGAGTATCAGCAAAACAGCAGAATTCGTTAAATGTTCAAGAGCAGCTGTTGTTAAAGTGTTTAAAGACTGGACTGTCAGCCGAAAATCTGGGTCTGAACGTGCGAATTGTGGCCGTCAGCGACTAGTCAATGTTAGGGCAGAACGGAGAGTGGCAAGACTGGTACAAGACAACAGAAGGGCAACCGTGCCGTGTCAGATTCCTCGCATCACCTTTCATCATCTCGTGGAGTTACGAGGCGGCCCAACGAAGTCATCTCGTGGCCAACGAAGTACTGATGGGGTGGTCATAATAATCTGGCCACTCAGTGTATATCATACAGCCATTAAATGTGGTACAGAAAACACATTGGGGGGAGTTTATCAAAGCAATTGCGACAGTTTTAGCCTCTTAGATCATGTTTTTTTTTATAAACAAATCTGTCTTTTAACCTGTGCCCCTGTTTTCACCAGAGCTTGCACTACTTTTCTAACTGCACTTGTTTTGCACCTGTTTTCATCTGCACTTGTTCTGGGGCTGTATGAAACTCGAGCATCACCTAAGAAAACAATCACAACTTAAGAAGTCCCCATGACCACTTCTTCAAGATACGACAGTTAAGCTTTTTGCCTGGAGTTACGAGTCTTCTTTCCTGGAATCTATTAAACCTCATTTATCATCAACATTACATTCGCATAATATATTCCGTGCAAGCTCAAACACTCGCAATTGCTATGATAAATTCCCCCCATAATTATCACAGCAAAAATTTAATAAAATAACCGTTAAAGTATAAACTTGAAATGTTCTAATTGAAAAAACAATACTTTTTTTTCTGGGTGAATAGTCTAGTTCTGTACCTGAGGTGAAGGATGAAACAATGACCTGATCATGCCTTGCAGCCAGAAACATCATAGAATGAAACATACGCTTGTAACTACATTACATTACATTATATTGATGGCAAACAGGGCAGCCATCAGGGGGGTACGGCCGATACTCATGTAAGGGGCCCGGGCAGACTGGGGGGCCCGCCCGGATCCCTTACATGACTATCGGCCGACGGTGAAGGGCGAAAAGGTGGAGGCCTGGCCCTAGCAGCGCAGGGCCCCAGCATTGCCGCTCCAGCGGCTTCGAGACAAGCTGAGGCCCCATCAGCAATGCTGCTCGTCTGATGTCGGTCTGGCCGGATATGACGTCACGTTAGTGACGTAGTGTCACTCCTGGCTGGTCCGGCGGCAGACGAGGCCATGTGTGCAGGTAAGAGGAGCTAGGAAGGAAGGAAGGAAAGGAGGGAGGGATGCAGCCCTGACCAGCCCACCTGAGACCCCTTCAGAGCTCACCATAGACAGTCTCAGATGGGCTGTGCTGCATCTATGGTGGGCTCTGCAGGGTCACTCTCAGGTGGGTCAGGGGGGGGCCCGGCCTAAAGCTGTGTAAGGGGCCCCAAAATTTCTGATGGCTGCCCTGATGGCAAATGATGATGGGAGATTGTATTACCACCACATATAGCAGACGCGTCAAACTCAAACGCTATCCAGAGCGAGCTTGGCCAAGGGTGGTTCTTACCAACTGGAATCAAATGGACGGTGAAGAAATGAAAATGAGTGTGTAGCAGTACAAAAAGAGATTTCTTTCAATGCTTTAGTTTATTTAGTGATTAAATAATAATGACAACATTTACCATCAAAGAAAAAAAGACAAAATTCACAAAAATATTCCCAATTATGTTGTGTTCCAGTTGTGTATTTTTTCCTCTGTTCATGTGACTGTCCCCTCTGACTCCACTCTTCTCCATGTTTTGCACATTGTCATATTGTATCTGTTTAGGAATCACCCAAAATGCCTAGCCCCATAAGTTAACATCACATATCATCTCTTCACTCCAGTGTCCCTGCTGATGCACTTTCTCCTAAATACCCAACACCACAGACACCCACAAGAAGGCGTATTCACTGGCACACCACAACCCCATATATGAGTAAGTCATTAAAAGAGAACTATGATGGGTTAGTGTTTTTTCCCCATAGTTCTCTTAAGGGTCACGGGAGGACTAACCTCCTCCCATGACCCAAAGCTCAGTATATGGCAAGCTACTGCTCGTGGTATACATTACTGTCTGGATCCACCCAGCTGCGTGAGTGACAGCTGGCTCTGCCTATCTAGAGCCAGCTGAACTCGCCCCCTCCCCCGTCCGTTCCTCCAGTCAGCGCTGGCGGATCGGAGCAGGGAGGGGGCGATACCCAGTGGGGAGAGATGACTGACAGTCACCACTCTCTGCAGGGAGATGACCGAGAAGTGAGCAAGCGACGGTACGTGTTCGCTCACTTCACGATCTATTGAGCCGACCTGTGACAGTTTCATTGTCACACATCGGCTCAAACTATGAGGATGAGTGATTTTCACTCACCTCATAGTTCTCCTTTAAGTGCATAGCCCATAGAGGATCCCATTGGCATGTACACTAATGCTGAAAAAGGCAATTAGATGCAATTTATATTGGGAACTATTACAATTTGTATCTAAAGCAAAAGATACACGGGACATTTGGCAGAACGAAGGACACTGAGAGGAACAAAAACCCTTCCAGATTTGTATTCCTGTCAATGTCTCCGATGTGGAGATTCACCCGCTCTATTTGTCCTTGTGACCATTGAAACTTTTGAGGGATTTCCTTTCATTTCCTGGTGTGTCTCCAGGACAGGAAAGGGGCTCAGATTACAAAAAAATAAAACAAAAACAAAAAATGCCCTAACAGGGGCTTTACCATTCCTCACTCTATCCAAAACTATAATAAGAAAAAAAAATGTATGGGCTTTAGATATGCTTTAAAAAATATTAACTAATCACTGGAAGACTTGTCAAAAATTACCCTCGCTGACACAAATACTGACCTGTGATCAGGGGCGTCCTGAGGCCGGGTCACCCGGAGCGGTTACCGGGTGACACCTCGTCGTGACGTCACTGCGTGCGTGCGCGATGACGTCATTGCGCATGCACAGCGGTCTTATTGATACCTGCCGGCGGCCATATTAGTCATGGACACCAGCAGAGAGAGGAGGGCACAGTCACCCGGTGGGATAAGGTATGCCGCAGTGTCGCCTCCTCTCTCCCGAAACTGTCGGCCGCTCGGACTATGGCCGCACCCCGCTTGTGACGCCACTGCCTGTGATAAATTTTCACTGTGGTGAAGGAAGACTGCCAGGTTTACTTGCACATAGGCAGTTTCTATCGTTTGTGATTAATAAGACTTTTTAGATTTACATTAATTTGACTAGAGAAAATTATCCTACAAGCTGTCCACTACATTTTCTCTGACATTTTTGGGAAGTTCTAAATATCATTGACATTGATCTTTTCTTTCATAAAGTCACCTATTTACAGAAATGTAACATTTTATTTAGTCAAAATTCCTCATCTTTTTACCTTCTGATAAGAACTTTCGATTGTTCTGCTCTGGTCTCAGCAAGATAATATAACATTTCGGTAGGAATATACAGCACAGCAGTCCAGCACTGGAGGCCAACATAGCGAATATCTGAACAGCCACAGTGTACTTGCCACTGGTGCTCAGATAGGCCGGAATGAAGGAGATCCAGACGCAACAGAAGACCAGCATGCTGAAAGTGATCAGTTTGGCCTCGTTGAAGCTTCCTGGGAGGTTCCTTGCCAGGAAAGCTACTAGGAAACTTACCATGGCCAGAAAACCCATGAACCCCAGAGTCATATAGAAAAATACCTTCTGCCCTTCATTACACTCATATATTATCTTATGGTTTAGGGTGTTTAGCATTAGGAAAGGAGGGGACCAGTATAGCCAAAATAAGCAAATGCTTATCTGAAAAACTAAACAAAATCCTATAACGTTACAGGGGAGGATGGGGCCCAACCATTTCCTCAAAGGACTATTTAGTCTGGTAGCTTTAAAGGCAAAGATCACCATGATAGTCTTGGCCAAAACTGAGGAGATACTAATGGAGAAGGCCACAATGAAGAAGGTTTGTCTCAGGAGACAACTGAAATTGGATGGTTGGCCAATAAATACCAGACAGCAGAGGAAGCAGAAAATAAGAGACACCAGCAGGATGTAGCTCAGCTCCCTATTGGTGGCTTTGATGATGGGTGTGTCCTGATATCTGATGAAAGTGAATAAGATGCATACGGTGAGGAGTGACAGCATAACAGACATTATCACCAGCATGATTCCCAATGGTTCATCATATGATAGGAACTCTAGAGCTTTCGGAATACACTTGTCTCTCTCCCCATTGGACCACTGATTGGAGGAACATCTGGTACACTCTGCAGCATCTAAACAAGAAATTTGGAAAATATTAATTAATAACTTGATCCCCTGAGCACTGTGCTTGTCCTCTGTCTCTTCCCATTGTGTTAGGATCTGGGGAGTCTCTGTTTGTTCTTGGTGCTTCTGTGTTGGTCCATTCTATGTCTATTTGCTCAGTCTGATTTTTGGGCCTCTCTCCACCTACATCTACCTTGCTGGTGCATTTAGGAACTTCCTGTTTCTTGTGAGTATCCTGTGATCTGATCCCTGTGTTTGGGCTTGGACCTTTCAATCAAGTTTCCTATCCTTACATAAGTGTTTGTCCTGTGGAATCCTCCCTTCTACCTTGATGTCAACCTTTCTTAAGTAGTTTCCCCCACTGGATCTGCCACTGGTCCTGCCAGCAACCGACGCCTCCCCCCGAGCCTACCAGCTCTAGTCCCGTCCATCCCATTAGACACACCAAGTCCCAACTGAGCCTCTCATGGGCCTCTGCATGAAAATATTTATACCCCCTCCAACCGGCACCTCTTTATCGATTTAAGGTTTAGCAGCTCCACCATATGATATTTACCTGTGTGATTGGTCATCTCTCCCTCAGAGCAGGGGATGCAGTCATAGCAGCAGATGGGTCTTCCTTGTAGAGGGGCTTTCCTGTACCCAGGCAAACAGCTATTACTGCAGATGGAGACTGGGACCTGTTGTGGAGATAAATACAGATGTGTCTTGCTGCACTCCTTACTGGTTATTAGTTATAATCTGTAAAGTTCAGGTGGGTGCTCGTAGTCTCTACGGATGGCACCGTGAAGTAACAATGAATTCAAGGATGTCACCAGCACACCAATAGTAGAGTGAAATTTGTCCATTTAATGACAAAACAATGCCATCCAAATGCAAGTGTTTTCGTGGCCTTGCAAGGTCTGAGCCTGATGAAGGGGATCCTGTGAGGCCCCAAAAGCACTTGCATTTGGATGGCATTGTTTTGTCATTCAATTCACTAATTTCACTCTACTATTGGTGGGCTGGTGACATCCTTGAATTCCCTTCCTTGATAAACTCATCATGACCGGACATTGAGAATGTAGAAGACTGGAGCTAGTCATAGACCCCTGTATATAAACAGACAGTGAACCCAGGCAGGATGAAAGTTCTTGTTTTTTAAGCATTTAAAAAAAAATGGCTGGCCAATACAGAACTGAAATGGAATCATCATATCGCAAATAACCAGCCAATCTTTGCCAAATTCTATGCCGATGACCCAACTGAATGATATAAGCCAATGTGAAAGTAAGTATTGGCGTACCATAAGCAATAAGAAGCCTATTGACCGAAACAAGGAAAAAAAATACTACAATTATTACTTCACAAAGTTACAAAAACGTAAAAATAATAAAAATAATAATAAAAAATCCTCCAGTGAACAAAATAGATAAATATTTACAAATGTTACAATTTGAACTCATGGAAATTGCAATGAAGACTTTTAAAATGATACCATTTTTTTTTAATAGATTCCCAAAGAAAAACAAAACCTTTTGGATATACAGAAATGTATACAGTATATAACTGGTAATGTTAGAAAAGTATACATACTAATAGTACAATCATTTTTATGTTTTACTTCTCTCTCCCTCAATCCAGTATAGAGAACAGCTTCAAATCCCCCCCCCCCCTTCCCCCTATGTCCTTCCTATTTCTCAGCCTCTACCTAATTTAGCCTCCTGTAAACTACCATATTGCATCACTTAGACTAGGAGAGCAAGGAGCAGAACTAGGAGCCAATCAGAAACAGCTGCACTGCACATGTGCTGACAGCGGGAGAGAGCAGAGGGGCAGAGGCAGTGTGTGGAGACCTGATAATATACATTCTTTTCCCCGGCTTCCTTCTGCGATATCTAGGTGAGGGTGACATTGCCCACCATCTGACCAGATCTCAGAGAATGTTGAGTAACCCAAATTTCATGAGCAGAAGGACCACGGAACTCTGAGAAAAGTCAGTATATTATCTAACTGTTTTTGCTGTTTTCTACACATTTATAAAGAATATAAGGAAGGGGGGACTCTGAATAAGTAGGCTGTGTCTGAAGTGCAAGGGGTCATTTCTAGGAAGATGGAGAGAAAAATGAATGCAAAACATAAAAAAATCTCTCCATTTCCTTTGTTAGAGTCGGGATCTAAATGAAACCATCAAAATCTAACAGGTCCACCTGTTACCTGTAAAAAGTGATCATTCCACAGGATGGCGCTAATGTTCAGACTGATCTTCTCCTCCAGTTTGGCCTCAGGGTCAATCTTCCCCACTTTCACTAGTTTGAAGCTGTTGTTGAGGATCTGGACGTTCATGATGTCATATGATGCTGGAAGGTCCCCCTCAGAATTAAACTTCATCACCTCCCCGGACTTTGTCTGGAAATTGGTTTTCTTGAGGTAACGGAGCACCTGAGGAATTTTATACACAACAATGAAAAAAACAATGAAAATGAGCTATCTAAAGAGCAGGAGGTAAGAAGCTGAGAGCTATGCCTGCTGGAAGGGAGAAGACTATGGGGTCTATTCACTAAGCTGCCGTAGCCAGCCGAGTGAATGACCGACCTGAAGTGAAGTGAGCCGAACACTGTTCGGCTATTCACTTCAGGCTGGTACGGCTGATTTCAGCCGTACATTGGTTGAAATCAGCCGTACATCGGCTTGCTTCACATGGCTTCGGGTCGGCCGAACATGCTCAGCATTGTACCCGCCCTCTGCTGATGAACCTGATGGAGAACTGAAGCAGAGGGCGGGTACAATGCTGGTTTACTATTGGCTATTGCAAATTGAAATAGCCAATAGTAATGTAGCAATGGATTTCAATGGGAATGTTTTTTTTTTTTCTATTCTGACATTGCTCCGTGTCAGAATGAAGAAAAAAAAAGACACAGCAGTGTTTCTCTCCTTGGCGGCCGGGAGCAGGAGACTCCCGGGGCGCCAGGGAGAGTTAGCTGTTTGGAGATCAGTGTCCCTGGTTAGCAGATAACCAGGGACGCTGATCTCTCTGCTAGTGGCCGGAGCCAGCCGTAAGATCACGGCTGGCTCCACCCAGCTGTCAGAAGCAGGCTGTCGGCCGGCCGCTCGGCCAGCTTCAGCTTTCAGCACGGCTCAGCCGAGCCGATGCATATGCGTTCGGCTCGACTGAGCCGCTTGGCCGCGTTCGGGAGCTGTACGGGCTATAGTGAATAGCCCGTACAGCACCCCTTTGGTTCTACTGAACCAAAGGGGCCCTGGGGCCGAAGCTAGCCGAAGGATCGCCTAAAGCTACGGCTAGATCCTGCGGGAGCTTCGTGAATAGACCCCATATGTATTATTCACACTCAATGGTTCACAAAATGCTTTGGATGGAAGACACCAATCATCATAGTCATGGTTAGTTTAGAGAATAGTTGGCCTTTAAGATTTTAGAGAAGCAACACTGAGGTGTACAGACTAGTCTCTTAAGAATGGTACAGAAGGAAATTATGGAGATCAGTTTATGAATGGAGTTTTTAGCGATCCATGGCCCTATCTTCAAAGGAGAAGATGAAGCTCAGAATGACACAGGTCATATTTTTCTCACCTCTACCTTTTATCCTTTTAGAGGGTAAGATTCTAGAATGCAGTTGTACACCGGTCACTATCTGTTGTAAATTTATTGGACTAAGTGGTGTTCCAGGAGGTGGTGAGGAATGGAAGATGGATGGGAAAAGTGATGCCTTCTGTACTGACATTCTAAAAGGGGTGACTTTAAATTGTAGGAAAGAACAAGATGATCTCGATGTTGTTACAGCTGATGGGGGCGAGGTCGAAAATGTGAAGCAAATGAATGGACTCTAAGCGGTCTATTCACAAAGCTGCCGAAGGATCCAGACGTAGCTTTAGCTGATCCTTCAGCTAGCTTCGGTTGCAGGAGCCCTTCGGTTCAGTCGAACTGAAGGGCTGCTGTATGGGCAATTCACTATAGTCCGTACAGCTCTCGAAGGCGGCCGAGCGGCTTCGACTGAGCCGAAGCGACAGCCGAAGCGGGACCGTATGCCTCACACATGACAGCTGGGTGGAGCCAGCCATGATCTCACGGCTGGCTTCACCCACCAGTTGTAATGACAGATCATCATCCCCAAATGACCTGGGGACGGTGATCTGTCATTAAACAATAACAACTGGGCAGAGCCTGCTGTGACATAATGGCCGGCCCCGCCCAGTTGTTATTCATTGGCCGGCACCTGCTAGAAGACTCTAGCAGGTGCCGGCCAATAGGAAACAGTTGGGTGGAGCTAGCTGTCACTGCTAGCTCCAACTGATTTTTTTTTTTTACTTATTTTTTTACTTACAAACATCATTTTTCACTTACCTTCTGTGGTTGGGCATCATTAATATTTGCACACTTTCTGCTGTTAAAAAAGCTCTTTGACCCAATTGGGCAGCCAAGCAGTGAATGCAGAGCATGTGCATAGGCGTACACAGCCAGGTAGGTGTGATAAGTGAAACTGAGGTCATTTGTCTCAAACATCTGGGAAATTTGGTTTCCAAACTCTTCTTTCCCAGTGCAAGTCACATCTTCCTGCATGACAGAGGACCTATCATCATCGGTAGCACCAACATGCCAGTGGCAATTAAAAGTATTTTCCCAGAGAAGCCTAATGAATGGATACAATGAACTGCCATTCGGATGAAGGTTTAGGAGATATTTAACAAACCCTGGCATGGTGCCAGTACGAGGAATAAGTCCAATTGTCCCATTTAGAACTTTCCAGGCTTTTTTGGAAAAGAGCCCTGGAGTGAGTCCAAAGGAAGCTGAAGAGATAAAAACTTTCCCAGTTTCCCCATTATCAAACATGGCATCAAGCAGGGCCTTCATATGGACCTCAGGACTGTGGAGAACAATCACAGTAATGGAGCTTCCTTTGATGACATCCACCACTCTCTTGATCTGCGTGGCAGAATAACTCAGATGTATCTTCTCCAAAAAAGCAATACAGCCTCCATTTCTCTCTATCCCGGCTTGTATAACCTGGGCCCCCCGCTGCCCAACGTCGTTATCCACCACCAACATTCCAACCCAAGTCCAACCAAACTGGCCAATCAGCTGAGAGAGAGCAACATTCTGAACAAGGTTACTGGGCATGGTGCGGAAAAAAGACGGGAAATTAATTTTATTGCTGAGGGCTGAGAGGGTCGCCCCGTGACTGATCTAGGAAGAAATAATATATATATTTAGTTGGAGTTTAAAAAACACTTGTTCTCTTTCATAGATCAGCCTCTCTCAACCAGGGTTCCGAGCAACCTCGAGGATCCTTCAAAGGTTTCTAGAGCTTCCTTAAGCTGTGGTAAGATTGACTCCCACCTTACTGTACCTGCATAGTTTCAATACTGACTGCACTCAATAGGGGGCAGTACACTAACCACCAAGGTAAAATAATATCTTTCCACCACTACCACCAATGTGAGGGGGCACCTCACCTACTGGCCATCATTGTAAGTGGCCACTTCTTCTATTGACCACCAATTTAAAGGGGAACACATCACAAATATGGACAATTGAAACTGAGGATGGGATGAAAACAATGGATCAGCAGAGGTTATCTTTACTGAAGTCCTTGCATCAAAATGGCCAGCAACAGAAATGTTGAGATTTGCCTATCATTTTTGCTGCTTACGTCTCTGGATCCTCTGCTCATGTATTTTTTTCCCTAAGTGCTCAGTTTCCTTTGTCCATGTTTGAGAAAGGGTCACTTTAAACACTATTTTTTATCGTTCCAGGGATGCATAATTTTTAGATACCTGTGGGTAATGGAGGGCACCAAGTATTTGGGCAATAGGAAGAGATAAGGCAGAAAAGCGTTCAGCTATAATCCCAACCATGACAGATGATGTATGGCAACCATATCCAGGAAAGGGGTTTCCAAGTCCTGACAGCAGGGACAGAAGTCCTCCCACTGCCCGGAGCTCCGACATACAGGAATCCAGCAGGCTGAAGCCAAGAGTGGTGTTAGGCAGCAGCTCTGGAGAATTATTAATTTCATCTACTGCAAACATGAGGCCCAGAACATCCCGATAGTAACGAACGTAGAACCTACACAAGAAGAGAGAAGATTAAGAGATAAAGGAATATACCGAATGTAGATGGTCAATGTTCTCCAGTCTTTCCCTTGTCAAAATTGTTCCTAAATAGACAATTGTTTGAGCATCATTAGTATCCAAGGTGTGATAACTTATTATTAACCCATATCTATATGTGAATATTAAAAATAGGCATCTGAAAGTACTTATAGGGGAGAATTTTAGGATGTTTTAGAACTTGTATTTTCAAAAACACTTAGCAGTAGTTTGAAATACTAGTTAAAAGGCTGATATCTGATGTCTATAGCTAGTTTTCATTGTAAGAGGGGACATTCCTTCAGAAAATATTTTTGAACACCATTAAAAAAAATTAAACCACCAATTTGCGAGGTCACAATGCTGTATAGAGTGCAGGTGACTCACAAAACTAGTGCTAAAATGACTACCGACCATGCAACCTGTTGATATTGATTCCTATTACTGACCTGGCTAGTTGCATGATCTATCTGTTAGACATGTGCGATTCGTTTGGTTCCGAATCGAAATTCGGACGAATTTTCGTAAATTCGGACATTCGGATGTATCCGAATTCCGAATTACAGACATAACGAATGCAAACGAATCCGAATTTCCATTTCCGAAATTCGGTAGCGTTCGCACGAACGTTCGTTTCGTTTTCTGTTCTTATTCGTTTCTTATTCGTTTCGTTCGTTGGAGCAAAGTGACATTAGAGAAGGAGAAAAATATTTTTTCCCCCTCAAATGTCACTTTTGCTGCAAACGAACGAAACGAATAAGAAACGAATAAGAACAGAAAACGAAACGAACGTTCGTGCGAACGCTACCGAATTTCGTCCGAATCCGAATTCCGAATCCGAATTGACTTTCACACCCGAATCCCGAAAAACGAAATAACACAAATCCGAATTTAAAACGAAACGAAACGAAACAAATTTTTTGGCAGTGCACATGTCTACTATCTGTAACTCTTCCTTGCCGCCTCATCTACTCCTGTATCGATCCCCGGCTTGTTTCACCAGGTACAATTTCTGCCTGATATTCTGGTATCTTTTTGCCCACAAATTACTGACCTGACCTGTTGCTGAGTCTGCTGCTGATCTGCCACAACTTTGCCCACCTGTTGCTGACCTTGTTTACTGACCGTGTTTTATCTACTCATCTTGTATTCATCTTATTTCATCTACTACTGTATCGACCTGGCTTGATTCACCAGTTACAATTTCTGTCTGATGCTCTGGAAACCTCATTGCCCACAAATTGCTGCTGATCTGGGATCACTTTGCCTACCTACTGCTGACCTTATTTACTGACCTTGTTTAATTGGGGAGCTGAATCTTTCTGTCACTCCCAACTGCTTGAGGATCTTCCTCTCAAGTTCCATTGACACCAGCATCACACTCTCTCTCATCCTTCTTCCATGCATTCCCTGTCCTCTTCTCCCCCCCCCCCCCACTTGCCCCCCCCCCCCCCCGGCACAGGCTAAATAACAATGGGTGCACAATGAAGCTGTTTGCGTTTAGGGACTTGGCAAGTAGATGCTCAAGGGCATTCAGGTTGTGTTTGCACATCCAACTGCCCACTAACGCCCATGGTAGCCTTTAGGTCACGGTTCTCTCTTTCTTTTTAATTTTAATTTTACGCCCTGTTCCTATCGTACATTTGATTTATAAAGAGAAAAAAATGGAAATAAACTGTGTATAATAATAATATTAGCTGTTCATCTACATCTACAACTTTGAATGACTGCATTCTTGCTGTGTTGGTGGAGAGGGTTATAGCGGAGAGTTTAGTACAATCAGAGCCAATGGTAACTTTTCCTGATCAGATTTTACATAATATTATCAGGACCATAAAGCAATCAAAGAATCAAGTCTGATATTATGCAGCTTCCCCTATAACGTACCCCATACAAGAAACTGGCTTTGGCCTCTCTTGGAAGGCCGGTGCTTGAAAGACAAATCCAGAGTGAACCACAAAAACCGCCCCAATCAGGATGTCCCCAAACTGTGTAAAGGAATCCATTGGCCAACCCTGGAAGCTGCAGCCAGGACTAGACTGACTCTGATCCAATGATAAGAGTAGCAGGAGGATCTGAAGGACTCTTCTCATGATGGCCATTCAGTTTCACAGGTTAGAGTTGATTTAGAAAGAGCATATTATTCAAAGCTGAAGTGGGGTCACCTTGATCAGCTGGAAGATGAAGGGTTCGGAGGTTAGAGATTGTGTAGTGCAAGTGATCAGCATACGTAAAATATTACATTGTTAACTGCTGGGAGGTAGACCCTCTAGTACATTCTTACAAAAGCTCTGCAGTTATGTTCCCAGACCTGCACATGTGCCATCAACTATTGCAAGGGATTCTCACAATATTGTTGGAGATTACTTTAATTTTATATTAGAGAGAAATGCAGGAGGAGCCAAAGGACCACAAAGTGGGCGGCAACACCAAGTATTCTCAGATGCAAAGGAAGAAGGTCCTGCACTATGGTCAGAAAATGCACTTCAACAATGAAGACCCCAATGGATAAAAAAAAAAAATCTGCAGCCCATTGGACTTCACCTATGATCCTAAGCATTCATTTGATTCCATGAGCCCTTAATAAGACCATGAGGGCTGTTCTGTTTGACATTCCCCATGATTCCAATGATTCTTCTACATATTTTGTTAGGGGGTAGTTATTCTGTTTTGTACTTTCACTGTAGAAATGATGGGCATTGTCTGTGGAATTCTGATTACTATTGCCTTTAGACTTTTTCACTACTACAGTGAGGTCACATTGTGTGGAATTCTCCATTTTGAAATTCCTAAGACTACCTTTAGACCCTTGGAGCCAAGCCTGCTGCTCTTGGGTGCTGGTTGTATGGCACTTAAATCCCTGCAGCTATTAGTGGGAGTGAAATCATTGATTTGAGTCAGTCACCTCATGCAATCTCATGCAATGTCTACTGCAGCATGTCTCCTGTCTTCAACCATACTGGTCTCACAGTCTCTGTCAGTCTTGTGTAGCATGACATATATTGAGTAGACCCATGGTGGTGTCGGGAGGCTCAGTTAAGGTTCTCTATATTTGGTAACTTTACCACCATTGCTTCACAAGAACAATGATCAGCATGATGTTCTATCTCCTCTCTGAACTCTACAGCTGCCTCCCTTTCTCTCTGTCCATTAACGCCTCTTCCCTGTAGCCACCTGGAGGGGCCAAAACTAAAACTGACCTGATTATTGCATAGACTATCAATGACTTCAATCACTGACTTCCTGCTCTCAGGTCACGTTCATTTTTATGAGTCCAGCTATTTCATTGTGACATATTCTTAAGTGTGCATATAATAAATAACAGCCCCGGACTCCTGGCATTTTGTTTGCTACAGCACTCCCTGGCATTGAGCTGTAGAGCTGGAAATTGTACAGTACACATATTCCTCCTGAAATTCACCCCCCTATATCTGCTGCAAAGACTGTCTGTCTATATTAAGCCCTGACCTTTAATTCCACCTGATGATATTGGATTTGTTTCATGCTACAAAGATGCTGCCCCCCCCCCCCAATTCCCAGTCATTCCTGTGCTCTGTTATACTTATCTCATGCTTACTGAAGCATAAGCAGATAAGGACAGACATAAATGGGGCCTATTTATAATGATCAGCAAAATGGCGGGAGGGAAATCTTTATGAATTGATGAACTGTAACTCCAAATAGCTTCTGCCATTTTCAGTTTAGTTGAAATGTGGGTTTAGTAGTCCAGAGCGCTCTCATATAAAATGAGAACTGCAGGAAACGATTGACGTTTGAAGTTTGAAACAACAGCAAAGCATTGGTTCATAAATAGACCCTTAGACCTTTGAGATTCATAAATGCATTATACGGATTACACCATGTGAAAATAGTTCTAAGACCTTGTCATGAAGAGACCAAATGGGTCCTTTCTGCCTATTAGAAGAGTAATATGTATTGCTGATTTATCTTGTTTTAATCTTTTATGTTGTTTAAGGAATCTGAATCATAGTTACATAGTATTTGAGGTTGAATAAAGACACGGGCCCATCATATTCTGTTACATTAATATATTCTTAAAGTGGTTCTAAACCCTCCATTTTTTTTGCCTATATCTACTGCTAGCAAAAACCCGCTTTAACAGTTCACTCTTGTGATGGTCTACAAACTCAATACAAATGATAAAACTAAACCTGAGATTGTAGTCTATCCAGGGGCGTCCCGAGGCTGGGTGACACCCGGAGCGGTTACCGAGTGTCACCCCGCCGACTCGCCACTGCGCATGCGTGTGACGTCACCAAGAAGAGTGCCACGCGTGCGCGATGTCGTCATCCGCGGCACTCTTCTGATACCTGCCGGCGGCCATCTTGGTGATGGACGCCGGCAGAGAGAGGGGGGGACAGTCACCCATCGGGATAAGGTATGCCGCCGGGTCCCCTCTTCTCTCTCCTGAGATTGTCGGGCGTTCCGTCCACGACCGAGCGCCCTACGAAAAAGAGGGGGGTGACACCAAAATGACTGTCAGTCATTTTGGTGTCATCCCTCCAATGGTGTCACCCGGGTGCGGGACGCACCCCCCGCACCCCTTTGTGACGCCACTGAGTCTATCACAGGAGCGGGCTTGGAGCGGTGGCTACTTTACAACACACACAGGGACCATGGGGAACAAAAGTAGCCCCCCTCCAGAAGGAAGGACCGTGTCAGCACCAATTCAGAGATGATTTGAGGATATTCAGACGATACACAAATAAGATATATTGTTGTTCATAGTTAAGGGACTTGAATGCATTTTTAAGATGTATCTCCTGAGTTTAGTGTCACTTTAATCTTCTTTGTGGCCTTTAAAGTTAGCTTCACTTTGTTACTCGGAGCCTGATGTCTTTCACTTCAGGACTAAGCACCACCCTGTCAAGTGAGATTTCCCTTTATGACTAATAAGGGGACTTTCTGGACAAGTGAACGGCAGTGTGGCTTTGAACTTTTTTGATTTGGGGATCTACAGCCGAGTGATACAGAAATAAGATACATTTTTTGTTAATAGTTAAAGTACTTGAATGTATTTTAAGATGTAACTAGTGTCACTTTAAGTCATAATTGGTCTACAAGCGGCATGAACATTTTATCAAGTTGTCAATGATGTGATGAGCGTCAGTTGACCCTGCGGCAGAGACAGTAAATCTTCCAGTCTGAACATGAACTTGGATGTTGTCCACCATCTTTTCTCTTTTTACAACCACCACCCGTGCAATGTTTCAGAGTCCGCCTGGGGCTCTGAGTGTGCAAAGAAGTCCTGCGTGACTCTGAAACATTGCACAGATGATGTGATTGGTCTGACGCTATCACACTTTTTTAATGGGGGTGTGCTAGTGACATATTGCATCTACAATGCCCGTTGTTGGCTGCCACAGCACCCTGTCTGAACCAAGCTGGATCCAGTAAGGTGTAGACATGTGCGATTCGTTTCGTTACGAATCGAAATTCGTACGAATTTTCCTGAAAATTCGTAGATTCGTAAGCATACGAAATCCGAATTGCAGTTTCCGAATTATATCCGAAATACGAAATTCCGTTAACGAATTTCGGATCCGAATTTCTTTGAAACAGGAACTAATGTTACCCCTGTAAATGAGGTTGAACAACATGACAAGATTTTTTTGTTAATCCGAAATACGGATCCGCTGCTGCTGAGAGTTGCATTACAATACACAGGCAGGAAATACGAAATCCCGTTGACGTATTTTCGTTCCGTTACGAACATTCGTTATATTGAAGTTAAAAAGCAAAGTACATTTATATCGAAATTCGGATACGGAATCCGTTAACGGAATTCGTATTTCGGATACAAAAACAACTACCACATCGACTCCAATATTAACAAAGGTATTTTTGCTTTTTAACTTCATCATTACGAATGTTCGTAAAGTTACGAAAATGTGCCGAAACTAACGAAAATCCGTATTTCGTACGAATCCGAATTGAGTTTCGGATACGAATTACGAAATAATGGATATTACGAAACGAAGCGGAACAAATTTTTTGACGGTGCACAAGTCTAGTAAGGTGTGCGGTGAGTGTTTGCTGATGGACTGTAGGGAAATAGACAGGAAGCCAAGTACACTTCTTACACAATCGTATCTAAAGATACAATCAGCTCCTTCATGGCAGACCATGGTTAGATTTTATTTACTTTATATTCCAGTTATATTTCATCACTTACCAAAAAAGTATAACCATTCACATAGATATATAGCAAGAGGAGGAGAAGCTGCAATGCAGTGATGTGGGTCTCTGATCCATCCATCTGAAATTCTATAAATAATTAGTTATACATATAGTACATAAAATATTAAACAAGATGCTGGAAACTCCCAGAATCCATTGTCATACCCCAGCAGACTGACAATACATGACATCTAAAGGCCCCGGTCAGCCTTTATCTATGAACATAATATATACAACAAGTTGTATAGGTGCAATGAGAGCTACATATAGAATAACATGGCGCTCACTCCTATAAATAGAGACAGACGCACTGATATTTATACGGATGATGAGAGCCGGCGGAAGGTAGCAGGTGAGGAGCCGGCACTCTGCGGACACAAATCTGACATAATTACCGGTTTGGTTTCCTCTTCTGAGAGGCTCAGGCACGCCCCAAGACTTGCCGAGGTCGGCAGTATGTGATATAGTGAGATATAGGGAGGCTACAGGGATTATGGAGCCATAATTACGGTTCTGCCTCCTCAGTGACCCGGAAAATGAAAAGATTGATCAGGATGAGAAGAATTCCCCCAAATTGGGAGAATCAAATTACAGATTACACGGCTCCGTTTGTCCAGTGATTTCTGCTCATTATAATGGAATTATATACAGCCCTGTGTGTCTCATGAGCAGGTGATTATATATCTCAACCTTAAAATGATCAGCTTTGTGATAAGTGAAATCTATAAGTTCACGTGGTATGTCCGTGGTGGCTTATGCATAGAGATGCATATATGCTGTATCAGATTTTCTGGATGAAGAAATAAACAGGAACATGGCTCCAGATATCAAAATGAACACAATATCAACACAATTCAAAAATCCCCCACTAAAAAATGCATATCTAAGGCTAATACTTTGATGTTTATCATTTCAGATAAGTAGAGGAGGGTTCGAAATTCCCTATCAGGTTTTTTTTTGCCATCTGAGTCCCATAAGTCAAGTTTTCCTTCATCTCCTGTTCTCTAGACACAACAGGAAGTGAGTGGAAATCTCTCCAAAGTGAGGGAAATCTCCTCTTAGACAGCGGTCTAAGACCTCCTGATCCTGGTACTCTGTACATTACATATTCCTGAACCCTTTACTCTGTATGTCTTTTATTCATAACTCTGTGTGTTACATACTCCTGACCCCTGCACCCAGTATATGATATTTTCCTGATCACTGCACTCTGTATATAACATACTTGTGACCCGTGCACTCTATGTATGATATACTCCTGACCCCTGCACCCAGTATATGATATTTTCCTGATCCCTGCACTCTGTATATAGCATACTTCTGACCCGTGCACTCTATGTATGATATACGTCTGACCCCTGCACACTGTTTATGACATACTTCTGACCCCTGCACTCTGCATGTTACTAACTTCTGACCCCTGCCTTTTGCATGTTACATACTCCTGATCCTTGCACTGTATACATTACATGGGGAATTATGTGCAGAAAAGGAATGCAGAGGGTATAACAGTGGGCATTATTTACAGGAGAGGAGTGTGGGGGGTATGACAGGGGGCAGTATGTACAGGAGAGGAGTGTGGGGGGTATGACAGGGGGCAGTATGTACAGGAGATGAGTGTGGGGGATATGACAGGGGGCAGTAGGTACAGGAGAGGAGTGGGGGGTATGACAGGGGGCAGAATGTACAGGAGATGAGTGTGGGGGATATGACAGGGGGCAGTATGTATAGGAGAGGAATGTAGAAGAGTGACTGCGGGCAGTATGTACTAAATGTCTAGTTTGGTACTACAACAATTTTTTGGTCTCTTTATTACACTTTGAGATCTATCACATGGTAAAAATCATATTGGTTAAAAACACATAAACATTTATTAAAGAGCATTCTATGGGAATATACACAACAGGAGGCTAAATAAATCCCACCAGTTGTCCTATTCAAGAGTTTAATTCTTTATTGCATGCAATATACATATTCAAATTCATTATACAACATTCATATTGAAAATTCATATGCACAGCAACCATTAAAATGCATAGGTGCCACCTAACTATGAAGTCCAATAATATATGATACTGTTATTTCAAAGAGATTTTCTATTTAGGTCGTGCAGCTAAGCCCTCTCCATCCAACATTGATATATCTGTACAACCATATAGTTCTTTATCATAATTTATCATAAACAAATATGCGGAGTCCATAAAGTTATCCAATTCCAAATGATTTAATAAAGAATTCTGAATGTCTTCAATGAAATTTCCCTAAATGAGGACCTTTAATAATCATGATGTTATTGTCTCTACCATAGTCGTGTGCTGCTCTTCTCTTCTGTTGAACAACTTCACAAAGACACCGCTGGGAAGTGTGAAAAAGTAAACCCTTAACTTGCGTGAGATGCAGATCAGGTAGATGGAGTGTAGGGTTGGAAAAATATTCATAATAATAAAAGCCGATGTAAAGCCCAAAAAAATGATTACATACCGTTTACAAAGGGTGATGTTAATATGGACAATGCAACCGACTAAGGAGAACACTGTAAACTTCAAAGCCCGATAGTGGGCGACCAAGCAGATGGCCACCTTCTTCATCTTCTTCACATGAAGACACAGCGAGGTAATGAGCGCGATGGACGAGAAGCAATGCAGCAGGATGAATACAAAGTTCCACAACATTACCAGGCAGATGTGGGCAATCTTCAGCTGTTTTAGGTTTCCTTTTTCTGGCATAATGTGTTCAAATCGTGTCGTTGAATTATAAGGCATTTTAATGCATCGGATCCAAAAATCAATTGAGGTGTAACCGACAGATATGAGTGCAGAAACATAAATCACATGGATGCACCTCCGAAATATAACTATCTTCATATGCAGAAAGGAGTCACAATGGAAGCTGGACATCTTCAAGCAGAAGACAACGACCAGAAATGTTGATAACCAGATGTTGGCGGAGCCTAAATTCATATGAAGAAATTGTAAAATATGGAGTGTTATGGGGTCCCTCTCGAACACATTCTGGCAAAAGATGATGGAGAGGCAGACCAGCAGATACACAGCCCTTAAAGCACCAAGACAGGTGATAATTTTATCCGTTATTGAAACTTTTCTACCTTTCAACTTTTCAAGGATATTCACAGCTACAATAAATAACTGCGTCATTAGTCCAGTGGTAAAAACAACTCCTCCAGCAACAAAAGACAGATAATAGGAGTAATGAGCCCCGTCCACAGAAGAAGCCATGACAGATGAAAGATCTCTGACCAAGTGGAATACTGTGTGTTCACGCCTCATTGAATCATCTCTTTATTTCAAGATATCATGCTGGTAACCATAACACAATTTCACTTTCCATAATTCAAATAAGAACGCTGTGGCTATATTTTACTAAGCTCCTTGTGTTACAAGTGGGGTTCTGAGTTAGCACAATAGTCTAATATGCCTTTCTATGGAAAACCTTTTATTCAGATAGAAATACTCAAGCATACACAATCACTCGTGGCTTTATTCCAAAATATGTAATAATGAAGGAAAAAGGGAGATAGAGTGAGACCTCAAAAGATATCTACACCGAAGAATTACATACAGTGGGCGGGCCGTTTGACTATTCACCTATCGCATTCATATTTAGCCCTTTTCATTACCATGACTGCATTTGTGCACAGGAGAAAAAAGGAAAAACTGCCCTTGGCCTGGTCTCCATGCAATTCTCTGTATCTTATAACTTTGCCTTACCCAATTCTTGATCATGTTACCTCTCTGTTACTTTCCTCTCCAGCCTTCCCTTCAGTCTTATATCTGACCTCCATCCTTCCCTTCAGTCTTATATCTGACCTCCGTCCTCCCTTCAGTCTTATATCTGACCTCCATCCTTCCCTTCAGTCTTATATCTGACCTCCGTCCTTCCCTTCAGTCTTCTATCTGACCCGCTTCCTTCCCTTCAGTCTTTTATCTGACCGTCCTTCTCTTTAGTCTTATATCTGACCTCCGTCCTTCCCTTCAGTCTTCTATCTGACCTCAGTCCTTCCCTTCAGTCTTCTATCTGACCTCACTCCTTCCCTTCAGTCTTCTATCTGACCCGCGTCCTTCCCTTCAGTCTTTTATCTGACCGTCCTTCCCTTCAGTCTTCTATCTGACATCTGTCCTTCCCTTCAGTCTTCTATCTGACTTCAGTCCTTCCCTTCAGTCTTTTATCTGACCTCTGTCCTTCCCTTCAGTCTTATATCTGACCTCTGTCCTCCCCCTCAGTCTTATATCTGACCTCCGTCCTTCCCTTCAGTCTTTTATTTGACCTCCGTCCTTCCCTTCAGTCTTCTATCTGACCTCAGTCCTTCCCTTCAGTCTTCTATCTGACCTCACTCCTTCCCTTCAGTCTTCTATCTGACCCGCGTCCTTCCCTTCAGTCTTTTATCTGACCGTCCTTCCCTTCAGTCTTCTATCTGACATCTGTCCTTCCCTTCAGTCTTCTATCTGACTTCAGTCCTTCCCTTCAGTCTTTTATCTGACCTCTGTCCTTCCCTTCAGTCTTATATCTGACCTCTGTCCTCCCCCTCAGTCTTATATCTGACCTCCGTCCTTCCCTTCAGTCTTTTATTTGACCTCCGTCCTTCCCTTCAGTCTTATATCTGACCTCTGTCCTCCCCTTCAGTCTTATATCTGACCTCTGTCCTCCCCTTCAGTCTTCTATCTGACCTCCGTCCTTCCCTTCAGTCTTCTATCTGACCTCCGTCCTTCCCTTCTGTCTTGCACAGTTGTACCGGCTCCTCTCCTGGACTAAAATGGCTTCCTCTGATGTCACTGCACACTGGGAGCTTCTCACAATGTGCATCAGAAGGTTCAGAAAGTCGGATAAAGCCCGCCGCATTTCCTGACTGGAGGACTGGCCCACCCCTTTCATTCATTGCATTTCAGTTCTTTCAACCATGGAGGCTCAGTAACACATGTGGGCATTAGCTTGGGCGGCATGCATACAAATGCATTCTACTAGTAACACCCACTCCTACAGACTGATATCCACCCATCAAGGCATTTTGATATTGGCTTCCAAACACAAGCCTGCTGCTTACATCAGGGCTGAGGACTGTGATGAACATTGTCAGTGGGGCTGGAAATGTTGCTAACCCCTGGATAGCAGAAAAGACACTTACAGGGGTTCTGCAAACGTTTGTTTGCCAGACATGTACTAATGACCATCCCTAAGCAAAAAGGCCAGAAGAGAGACATCATGTCTAGCACCTTGGAGTGTTTATGGGCAGGCCTGGATTCCGCACAAGGCTACTGAAGCCCGGCCTCGGGGCGGCAGGGCGCAGAGGGGCGGCAGCGATGTCCTTGTGGGGAAGTTCCGGGCGCCGGTCGTTAACATTTAGTCCTGCTTTGCACAAGCAGGACTAAATGTAGAGTGAGGAAGGCTGAATGTTCGTTTACATGTAATCTCGGCGATGTCGCCGATATCACATGTAAACAGTGTGCAGCCTCCTCCCCTCCCCCCTGCACTTACCTCTCTCCTCTGGTTCCGTCCTCCGCCGCCGAGTCCCGAGTCTCTCACTGCAGTGATCAGAGCGGCAAGGTTAATACTAACCTG